TTAAATATAATCGGCAACGCATTTGTAACTGGTTTGGTGTAGCCAGTATCCATGCATGGCCCTGATTACTTATAATCAGGTGATCCGTCAATCTGCTCGTCTGCACCCTATTCCATAAAAACTGCATATGCGTAGGTAGTTCGTAAGCTATTAGCTGATGCTGATGCGCAAGTTTACGCAGCTACTGATCTCCGCACTGAACAATTTCTTTCATGTTTCAAAACTTGTTATTTGAAATCTGCGTGAAATGTGTGGGTATATGTGCGTAAATGCACCCACAACACAGGATGATCTCCTTCAAATTTCATCTTTAACGTGGTACCAAAAGGTTGGCAGCATTAACAGGAATAATAAAACTGAAAACCTACCTACAATGGTTTATCAATACTTAAAACCGATTTGAATGCTTGTACACCCCTAAAACGCACTAAGAAAATAAAACGACCGACTTACCTAGGTCATTGCCAAGCACTAAATCTAACCCTATATATGCTTTGTATGTGTAGGTATGATAATACACAAACTATTAAAAAAATAAGATGTCACTCCCAAACTCATAACATAAACGCGACTCATAAAATCAAAATAAATTAGGGTAAGATGCCCAATTTCTGGCCACAAGCCAACCAACATTAAATATGTTGATAAAATGATTTATTGCATGTTTTAGAATTTAACTTATTGTCGATTAGTCATCGTTGAAGTGTGCATCGTAAAATTCATCGGTGTTTAATATCTTTTTTATCTGTGGCAACGTAACTGTCAGTTGTATCAAATCTTTGATCTGTGGAACTGTCAAACTGCTTGTCAATGTCAAACAATTCTGTAGATTGAGATGATGATGATGATGATTTGATTAATATCATAATTTTTAAACTTTTCCGGGTGTCAGGTTCAAGGAAAATTATTGTTACTAGATTTGCTAAAATTAAATCGTTTATTGCTGACTGTATAAATAGAAGCTGGCGTGATATTGATGCACGGAAATCGAGGATTCATGTTTTAGCTGAGCTGAACAAAACATCGCTCAGTTTTCAATTATTTTCGGCTATTGCTCTAAAATAGAAAAGTCAATTGTTGACACTAACATATCAAAATAATCAAGACGAGGAACTTTCTATTCTCTCGGTCGACTGTCGCTGAAATAATTAAAATGACATTCGCCTTATAGTGGGATTCACACCCTTAACGCAACTGACCTGAACTGCTACTCAAAATTACACAAAATACAAATTTATCTCACTCTCTGATAAAGTAAAGCGAAAACTAAATTTATGTTCGAATTTTACGTGAAATATTCGCGTAGGATGAATATGAGAAGTATATTTAATTTTAGATTAGGTGTATCCAGACTGATCGACGCTGTAAGAGATCAGGCTCAAGGTTACTTTAACCTTTTCCTATTTTCTGACTTAACATGACTGCTAAAAATTAGGGTCCAAAATTGCCCAGGTAGCACTGCATTCGTCATGTTTCTGATGGCGTTCGTGGTGAATTCAAAGTCAAAGCGTTTATTTCCATTAATCCTGAATTAGACACTATTGAAACGACAAAAATTGAATTGTCCGTCCATGTCAGTGATGCTAAGCGCTTGTTCCTAAATGTAGTTTCGAATGGAGAAGAACGAGCAAGAAAATTCATCGTTACTATCTAGGGATAGGCAGTAACTATGGAACGCCAATTCCTACGATTCTTACATACCTTATTCGCTTTAACAACAGTCATCAGTCTTTTTATGCATGCTCGTCGGTTAAGGGTACTTTTATTGGCCCTTCTTTAATATATCGCCAATATGGTCAGTATATGAGAATCGTTACTCTTTTAAAATAATGTTTTTTATAATCTCACTGAAACATCCTTTACCTACATCTTGTGACAGAAACTATCTCACTGCGGATTCACAAATGAATTTGCTGCTGTAACCGGTTGTGATAGGCGGGTTAGAACGAAGTTTCAATTCTACCAGGTTTAAAGTAATCGTAACGAGTACGCGTTCGGCGCTGTGATTGGTTGGTTCTTTGGTGCCGGCCAATCAGAGTGCAGGACGCATACTCATTTCGAATACTTTAAACGTAAATCGTAAATGAAACTCGTACTAAGAGCTCGCCTCAGAGAGCTCTGCAGCCCTGCCCTTTTTAAATTGGTCTCTTACCGCTCTTGTCGAGAGAATATGTTTTGACAAATTGTTCTATACTCTTCACATAACACCTTAAATATATGCGTATATTACGACATGGCTTCTCCTACTATAAAGAAACAAGCACAGTCTTATGTTTATAGGCCCCGAAATCCGGCCATTGTGTAAACACCATGGTAACACGTAGATAAATAGTAAATATTTGCATTTTCACACACACTACTTCTGAAAATAAAGTGTTACATAAGCATGGAAACTTTGCTATGTACTTACTAAGATTTTTGAAGTATTTTTACACTTTATGGGGCACGTATAGGAATGAAACAATTATTGAAATTAATTTTATAGCAAAAGATTTTCAACTGTCCAATTTTGTCAGCATTATAACAGCTTACACATAGGACCCACTTAGTTTTTAGTCAAACTTCCGTAGTGCTTGGCGACTGGGCTTCACCCAGTTATACAGTCTCTTTTTTTGTGCTTAATTACTTCTGTCTCCTGCAGTTATTCACTGAGGGAAGTGCCAATCATTTTTTTTTCTTCTCTTATAATATCTTCTGATTCACTTCGTTGCGGAAACCAAGACATTATTCATGTCCCTGGGACGCGCCGGACTTCATGTCCCAGTGTTTTCATGGTGTATCTACTGTAGATCCTGACTTACAGGAGTTGTAGCGGTTTTGGGAGGTTGTAGCGGGCTTGTCTCTCATTGTGTCCAATTTTGTCTTCATTATTCTTATTCAAATGTTCAATTGATAACACGGAGAAAGAAATTGATAAACCATTATTAAATCTAACTAATTTTTTTTCTGTAATCTAGATATTCAATAAATCATACATGTTTTCGACTGCCTCGTTGGCCTAGTAGTCGCAAGTGCGACTGCTGGGCAAGGGGTCTCGAGTTCGATTCCCGAGTCGGGAAAATTATTATTGGGTTAAATTCTCAGTAGTAGCACGGAGTCCGGAATTGTGCTCGATGTATGGCAATAGGCTCACTCACCCCCAATTACATGGGACTCATAACATAAATAGTGAAAAGTGCGTGTTACATTGTACAATGGTATATTGTGCACCCACACGCCTACCCCTTCCGGGATAAAAGGCGTGATGTTATGTTATGTTTTCAACGGTAAAAGAATAAAATATAAACACACAATACAATAAAATATAATAAACGTCGCAATCAAATTAATAAATAACTCGACACCTACTTATTTACGGCAGATTTCGAATACTATAAAACATATGAAAACAAGAAATAAATATAATTAAAGTGTCTACAGTATTAAAATAATGTTTGACTCTAAGAACCAGTGATTTTTGTATCAAGTTTATGTGTGATATAAGTGACTTTCTTATCTATAAGTGATTACAATAATTAATTATGTCAGTCTGGTTGACTCTGGTCAAGAGTTCCCATTGGGGGCTCCCGTGCAATCCCAGACCGGTTTTTGTAAGTATTTTATGTAGTTTGTTAAAGTTTGCAAACTAATATTTGATTAGTAACGCGACTTCAAAAGTCACAGAACGATGTTTCGTGATTCTATTTTTTGGAATCAGCCGGTAAACGAGCAGACAGATCACCTGATGGTAAGCAACCGGCGTCGCCCATGGACACCGAAAACACCAGAAGTGTTACAAGTTCATTACCGGCCTTTTGGGGATGAAGAATTTGAGGATTGTTGGGTATTCGGGGATTGGGGAGTTTGGGGTGGCTCATACGACGAAATAGAACACAAGCGTTTCACATATACATATAGCCGTGGTATATGATATGATATACTCCAGTCGAGCCGGCCTGAACGGGCCAATCCCTGAATCCCCAACTATCATCAAATTCACTTGTAACGCCTCCGGTATTCCAGGTGTCCATGGGCGACACCGATTGCTTATCACCAGGTTATCTGTCTGCTCATATCCCGGCTTATCCCATAAAAATACAAATTCGTCTATTGAGATTACCAGTTTGAAAACACGCCTATTTTGAAGGTGTTAACCCCACGCTGCTCCTTTTAATCCAGTTCACCGACACGTTGTACCAGATTTCTAAATTAAATATAGTCGCAAGAATACAATGCACTATTTTTAACACAACGCCTAAACATTACCTGGTAAACATAAAATAGTATGAAAGACTATTTCGAGATGCTTACCATGTTTTTTTTTTGTTTGTAGTTAAAAATCTGTCTTCTGTTTCTCTTTCCACAAAAGCCAACGCACTTGGAACTCCTTTGTTGGCACGGCCTAACAGCACAGCTCTCTGTTTAACCTAAACCTTTGAAACTGCGGTCTTTTTTTAATGGGATAAGCTGGTAAACGAGGTCAGCGCCGATTGCTACCATAAAGGTAAGGAATCGGTGCCGCCTCTGGAGACCTTGATCACCAGAGACGCTACAAGTGTGTTACCGGCCTTTTGGGGACTCAAAGTCAACGCACTTGGAACTCCTTTGTTGGTGCCCATCAAGCTTACCTCCTTGTCCCAGATAAAAGCATGAAAAATAGAAAAATATTGTTATGTTTATGTAACTGCACGGTTGGCGTAGTGGCCACACAGCATGTAGCCAGCTCGATTCTCACACGGAGCAACTCTTTGTGTGATCCACAAATTTTTGCTTCGGATCTAGATGTATGCGACATTGTATATTTGTAAACGCACCCACGACACAGGAGAAAATCCTAGTGTAGGGCAACGTTTTAAGAAAACAAATTAAGATAAAGACTATTCTCTTCTAACACACGACTTCTTCTTTAAATCTTCTAAAGCGTCTTCTACATTCTATCTCTTCTCGATACTCCTCCGTCAATACTATCTCACTATTATAACCAAAAATGTACTAAACTTTGTATGTCTGTTTGTCGACAGCTCCAAGTAAGGAATTCGCGCACTGAATCGACAGAGGATGACAAACGCAGCGACGACAGCCGGCCGCTCAGTCACGCATCGGATTTCAGCAGGGATAATATCCGTAAGTACTCTATAAAATTATCTTTAAGTGCTATTTATTGTGTTTTCAGAGTAGGTAGAATACACTACTCGCATTTGCTTTGCCAGCACCCCCATTTTTACAACGGGTATAACAAGACTCTCCCAGAGTATATCCGAACCGACACGACCTTCAAGAAAAGAGCGAATTCCTTTTTAAAAGGCCGGTAACGCACCTGTGTCTCCTCTGGTGCTGCGGGTGTCTATTGGCGGCGCTGATCGCTTACCATCAGGTGATCCGTCTGCTCGTTTGCCTCCTATTCCATAAAAAAAACCTATACCTTAGAACTGCTATCTTCAACCTTTTTGCTAAGTAAAAGCAGGCATAAGCACACCCTGTAATGTAAAGGAGACTCCAACGTGATTGACACGGGCTGATCTTATTTAAAAATCCTTATTCAATGACTGCACGATTGGTAAGGTGGCTGGGCAACTGGCTGCCATGCAACGCGTATCGTGCTCGATTCCTGCACGCAGCAACTCTTTGTGTGATCCACAGATTGTTGTTCCTGGTCTGGGTGTCGTGTATATGTGAACTTGTATGTTTGTAAACGCACCTACGATACAGGAGAAAACCCAAGACTAGGGCAAAGTTTTCAATAAAAAAATTATGGCGTTTCTTCTTCGTTTCTGTGACTGTACATTTGACGAAGATCATAATCTAATTAATATTAATGCATCTTTCACAGTATCACTGAGTTCAGCACCGCGGCGCAGTCGACGTGGCGTGGCGCCGTACAGCGAGTCCCAGCGCCCTTTGACGCGGTACCTGCCTGTCGATAGAGACGACTTCGATCTCAGGAGACATGTCGAATCTGCTGGTTTGTATACTTTTTACTGTCGGTAGACGTAAGTTTTCTAAATAAATTGAAATATAGATACGGCTTACTTACGACTCACTTAATATGTCCAATCGATGTAGATGTCGAGCAAGAAACTCCATTCAAATCAATATATCGTCAAAAGTATTCGTTTCACTAAGAAAATAAAAAATAGGTGTCTGGTTAAAATAATCTACCAGACGGACATTAAAATAAAAATTAGGCATCTACCCTATTCTGGTTTCTACTGCTTTCTAACCAAGAGTGAATGTCTTTTTACTTGCAGGTCACCAAATAGAAGTGTGTCCGTATCTGACGGTCACTCCGACCTCCTGTCGCGGGTACCTTCACAAACTCGGCGCCAAGTTCCACACATGGTCCAAACGGTAAACCACCATTGCTTATATTATGTTAACTAGTAAATCAATCAAAATACAGACATTTTAAAGTTAATGAGATTGTACGGCTTACGCCTGTAACTGTTCGACGAGATTACCCGACTAGTTTCAGGCCGCGATAGGGCCTATTGGCTATGTGCGCGACGGTGGCGACCCGTAGCGTTTACAACATTTGCGGAAGCTGTCAAATAATAACAATGTAAACATAATTTTCTTTGCAAATATAAATAAAACCAAAGATAGTGTTGTTGACATTATTTAAGTGCAATTTATTCAATAGTTTTACTGTAAATTGAATGTAATAATAAAAACCGGGTTGGTTTGAAATTATTACACATAATTAGTTTCCAACCACAAACTGAGACAAAAGGCAATAAATTAGTATTAGCCGAGCATGTAAGAAATGTGGAAAAACTGCGACATAACGGCGAGAGCTACTTAATACGAGCCATGGTCCATTTCTTAACCTTGATTCTGTACTGCAATCAACACATTTGACAGCTGATCATCCGCATTTGTTTCCAATTTCTGCCGTGTGGTGCGCTGCGGTCGTTATCTGTCAGCCACTACTCGCTTTGCACATAACCAATTGTGTTATGTTAAGCTAGTAAGCCGTACCATATTTAATCTTTGGAGATGATAACATAACATAACATCACGCCTTTTTATCCCCGAAGGGGTAGGCAGAGGTGCACATTTCGGCACCTAATGCCACTGTACAATATAACACCCACTTTTCACTATTTATGTTATGAGTCCCATGTAATAGGGGGTGAGCCTATTACCATATACCGGGCACATGTTTCCAGACTCCGTGCTACTACTGAGATTTCCCGGCCCGGCCCGACCCGGGAATCGAACCCGAGACCCCTTGCCCGGCAGTCGCACTTTCCATTGCCTCATTGGCCGGCGACCACTCGGCCAATGAGGCAATGGAGATAATATACAATGCGTCCAAATACTTTTATTGTGTCGACATTTCACTACAAATTCAAATCGATTGTTTCATAAACCTGTCCATGTGTTCCAGGTGGTTCGTTTTCGACCGCGAAACGAAAACGTTCGTCTACTACTGGGACAAGAGCGAGAAGAAGCCGAGAGGGGGAGCCTACTTCCAGGTATATATTATACTTTATTATTTATTTACTAACTTAACATATAGAATAGAATCAGGCTAACAATCATCATCTCATCATCAGCTAACAATCATCAATCATTCGATGATCCCCCCCCCCCCTTAAAATAATGCAGCAGAGATATGATACAAAATACACACACGACACTCAACAAACCACTCGAACCACTCTCAACATATGTTTCGCTGTACCACGGAGCATCCTCAGGAGTTATTAACTCTAGCGGCTGGAAACTTTCTGTTAAAAAAACTATAAACGTTTGTTTGTGAACACATCACATACCCATAGTACCTATTTAAGATATAATTTACTAGCTTTTACCCGCGGCTTCGCTCGCGTCACAAAAGAATAAAAAGTAGCCTATGTGACATTTACCAATACACACAGCGCCATCTATACCAATAATTTCGTTTTCCCTCGAGAATATCATTTTTCCGGGATAAAAAGTACCCTATTATTTAATCCAGACTTCTAACTTCACATCTGCAAAAATTCAAAGCAATCGGTTTAGTAGTTACGGCGTGAAAGTGGAACAAACAAACAAACAAACTCACTTTCCGTAGTAAGGATTACTAACTGTTCTAAAACTACTATGTCTCCTTTCCAGGTAATAGAAGAAGTATACCTAGACCACGGGAACACATCGAAATCACCGAATCCTTTAACTACATTCATAGTCAAGACGAGACAACGTCGCTACTACCTCATGGCGCCCTCTGGCGAGGCAGCGAGAATATGGATCGACGTTATATTCACAGGGGCCCAGGGCTATACCGAATATTTAGAATGAAAACAATATTTAAAAGCACTGAAGGAAACATATTTTAATTAAGATCTGATTTTGATTTCAAATCAGACTTTTTGAATAGAAACTCGGCAGGCGTTTCATTTTTTGTAATGACAACACTTGTCTTTTTTAGTCTGGCAATGTAGGTAGGAAATGTCAAAGTAATGCAAGGTTTTTAACAGCAGAAGAAGTGAATATGGACAGGTATGCTTCTGTTGAATATTTTTTGTCTGTCTATAAGTTACGAACGTAGAAATGGCTTCACATCCCGCCAAAATAAGTAATCGGTTTTATCATCTCTTGCTATGTGTCAGCTGTCATTTTTGGCGGGTCAAATGACATGTCAAATACTTATTGACATTATACAGCATGTTCATTTGTTTTTACAGCCAAGATTGTGCTTTAAAATGGTAAAGTTAATCTGGATTTTTGAAACTCAACAAATTCAATTTACTCCCTTATGATGCGTGAATATATGTTTATTATTTTCTTTATTTTATTTTCATTGGTATTGAATATAGCAGTTATTTCGATTAATTGCGAGTGGAAATGGTTTATTTGCGCTTCATATTTAGGGGGTAAACAGAGTTATGTTCGAAGTTGAAAAGCTGTAAAATATGAGAAGAGCGCACCTTGATAAATTCTTAAAAACTAGTGTGTCAACATTTTAAACATTTTTTTAATATCTGACATTAAAGCAAAAGGCATGATTTTGAAAATAGAAAAGCGATTTTGTAAAACAAATCACATTTGCTCATAAAATTCCATTTTGAAATAAGAACTGCCAAAAATGTTCGATAAATTTAGATTGCCATTGTAAAAATATCATTTATCTTTATTCACCCGTCCTTTTCATTGTAGCCTAAATGTCACAAAGTAAATAGTACTTACTGTATAGGTGATGAAGTCGAAAATCCATCGGTACCATAGATTTTAAGTACATTTTTCATTAATTCTTGTCAATTACTCGTAGATAGAAAATAGTGGGTGGTTTTTTAATATCCGGGTTTTTAGTAAAATCCTTATAAACCGGCAAATGTGAATGTGGGCTTTTACCTATAAATATAAGAAAACTTTATATTAAGTGAAGTTTTCTATACGTATGATGCATACGCGATTCGAATACTTTTATTGGATACAAAAACTGTATCTGAAATAAGGAAAATGAATCGTATTTTAACCGGTTACGACACGATATTGCGTGCCGACATATTTTATTATTTAATATATCATTATACATTTACGATGCAGTATTTTATCTCTATACATATATTTTCTTAACTATTTTTTATTCAATGGAATTTAATGTATCGATTTTAGCAATAAAATTTAATTATCAGTGTCTGGAATTTGTACAAAATTTTACGCCATTTTAACCGGGAGTTTTGTACAAAAAACCGGACAAAACTGGTTTGTAAACGGATAATAAATAAAAGTGCCAATTTTAATGATTGTCTTATGAAATATTGTGGCAGCTATTTTTTATACAATAATTATACAAAATCGGATGAAATCGGTGCCTTGTATAAGACTGAAAAATACTGAAAATAATGAAAATCTGTAATGTCATGTCTCTAGTATTAAAAGATTGCTTGCATGGAAAATAATATATAGAATTAAACTATAAATGTGTGTGATTTTGAATTTTTCATTTTATTCCAAATTATTTATTAATATTTAAGTATGAGTTTTAAATTAAGTGATTTTGTATGTATTTATGATTTTGTGCATGGCAATACAGGATTAAAAAATTGAAGTGTCAAAAAGTTAGACCTATGAAAATGTGACAACTGTTTTCTACTAAAGACAGAACGAAGTATTTGTGCTAAATGAAGTTTACAAAAACAATCTTTATAACAACGGAATAAAATATATGTTCAAACTGACGTCAATACTTATATGACCTTTTTACACGATATTTCTGTTTCTGTGTTTAGTAGAATTAAACTATTGTACTTACAAATGAAACATTGCCATTGTATGCGATTTTATGTAATTATTAATATATTTATTCTATCTACTATGAAAATAATGAATTATTTCTTTTTTATGGGCAAGATACCCATAAAAATTGTAAAATTTATATTTTATTACATCATTTGGTGCAAAAAATGCCATAGAATTGCCAGGAACATTACCATCTCGATACTATTTTATGTAAATTGGTATTTACAACCCTGACTTGGCTTTTTTAGAATAATTTGCACGCTTAATGCAATAAGGTTACCGTCTAGTGTATAAAAATGTAAATGATGTTTAAGCGGGTCGCGGGATCAAGCATGTGCACCGCTTGCTAAGCAAAATAGCCACCGCCATTTTTAAAAACTAATTTATAATTCAATAAATTACATGGCAACACTGTATTTTGTGATCTGGCTACACAAGCTTTTATATGGCAACTATAATAGCTGCCCTTTAAATTAAGTTACTAATGTAAACTAATGAAATTATACAAAATTACCGTTTTATAATAATTTTTAAGTACAAAATTGTGATTAGTTATCGACTCGTATTACCAGTGTATAAAATCGTTTTATAGGTTTGCAACATTGTATTTTCTTGCGTAGTATAAAGGGCTGATACCAATTTTACTTTAGATATAAGGATAAATAAATCACATTGTAATATTAACCCAATGAATTAAAGTTCATTTTATTGTAAAATTGCTCTCTTTCTTTTATTTTATATCCATTCATTCAATTTGTGTTCAGGTCTCAGATATAAATCTCGTATTGAGGTAACCATTTTCGTCTTATAACCTGAAAATCAAGATAATTAAAAGTATATTTTTTTTAAGAAAACGTTACCCCACAGTAGTATTTTCTCCTATCTATGACGTGGGTCCGTTTACAAACATACAAGTTTACATAGCCATCACATCCAGACCTGAAACAACAATTTATGGATCACACAATGAGTTGCTCCGTGCGGGAATTGAATCCGCTACAAGTTGCGCGGCAGCCAGTTGCCCAGCCATCGCACCATTCGGTCTTCTACTCCTGCTTTTTGGTAAACTGGAGAGTAATCTTATGAAGTAGAAAAGTCTACTGAGTTGATCTCTTCAGTGAGATTATAAAAGGAGAAACACTAATATAATAAAATAAAGTTTATGAAGGGCCAGAAAGAATGTCTCTTTCATGAACATTTTAAATGTAATGGAAGCTAACGAATTATGTACAAGCCTTACTTATTGAATCATACTTAGAAGTTCCTGCCTACCCTCATACAACAATGGCGTGACGTGTGGCGTGTGTGTATGACAAGCGTAAAAAAATCAAAGTGACAGTTCATATATTTACTATGACAACACTGGAACTAAACGTCAATGTTAAAAGTCAAATTTGACATTGACAACTGGACAACTGGACTTCGTTTGACGTTTGACTCATACATACTTCTTCTTTCGGCAAGGAAACGAACGTTATATTAATATTTATTGCCGAGAAAGCAAAGTTCGGACACCAGTAATTAGTATTAAACGAGAATAAGCAGAGTTTACACGTGTATTTGTTACTTTGAACAAAAAAGTAAGTAAACAACTTAATCAGTTTAAAGTGTTGAAGTGCAAAACCGGACAGGAAAATGGAATTTGTGAAGAAAATCCAACAATTTATCAGCCACTGGTACGTTCGCTACCTACTGGCGACTGAGTTGTACATGGTGGACACATGGGAGAAGATTGTTATGCGTATCCTTTTCAAAATCAAAACATAGTTGTAGGTTAAACGTTCTATAATTTGGAGTAGGTTTAGTACATTCTCGTTAGATAAAACTTAGTGTAATTGAACTATTTTGGTACCACAATTAACATAGAATTACATGTAATGCAATTAATTTCATGGCAAAATGAACACTATCATAACACAATACATTTCAGTTTTTATTGTTTCTTAGGTATTTTATTCACGTTTAATGAGTTTTTCGTTCCGGTTGGATAATACTGACCTTTTCCATCAAGACGTATGAACAAAAAATGGTGTTAATCAATGTTTTGTTCACATATCGAATGAAAATGTAGGTCAAACTAGTTCAAACAGTGAGTCATTGACAAGACTTCCTCTGTAATTTGTATAATTATGGCAACTGTTTACATGTAGGAACTGCTTTCTTGCTCATTCTTCTCCATAGGAATCTACACTTTGGAATGAGCAAATACCTTCACTAGGGGACTGACCGACATATGTATCACTTTAAAATTTTTGGTTTTGATGTTCAAAAGTACCTTGCTGGTCTCATCATCATCATCATGTTGACAGCCTATAATGCCCACTGCTGAGCAAAGCCTCTTCTCTCACGGAGAAGGTTTGAGCATTATTCACCATGCTTGCTTAATGCGGGTTTGTGATTTCAACCTTATAATTAGAAATTATAAGCCCAGGTTTCCTCACAATGTTGTTCTTCACCGTTTGTCAGTGGTGTCTGAATAATCTTAGAAAGTACATATAATATAACTAGGAAAAGACACATTGGTACTTGCCATTGGTTTCGAATGCGCACCCTCATGCATGAGAAGTGGTCATCTTAAAGCTTCAGATCACCAGGACACTTATCTTCATGACTTGCTGGTCTAATTGAAATCAAATAATTTAATTATGACTTTGTTTTGGTAAGTGATTTTACCAGTTATTTATATCATTAGTTACGGTCACAGCTTACAAGAAATACAGCTTTTTGTAGGTCCATAGTATAGATTTGTTAGCCAAAAATACCTACAGTAATATGAAAACTGTTTTAATTTTTTTAGAACTATCAACAGCTAAAATAATTTTCTTTTATTGTCCTTATCATAAGGTATTTAATACATACACACATACATACATACATAAATATGTCATTTATCCTGTTAATGATGTTATTAATACAAAACCTGCAATAACAAGGTAAATCTTATTTTCCGTAATTTATCAAACAAAGTTCCATTGAAGAACATTTACAATATCTATTGTCAAAAAATCAATAAAATATCTTGAAGATATTCAAGATTCTTATACCCTATAAGTTGC